AGACTCATAAAAACCTTACTAAATATTTTGCTTAGGGGGGATGAGTGCAGGCTGGAATTGGATAAGGTAAATGAGGAGGCTCAGACTGCACCAGCCCTGGGGCTTCCAAACCTACTAAAGCACTTTCAATTATACATTCATAAAAGGCAGGGCATTGCCCTAGGAGTCCTCACCTGAATGCTTAGTGACATTCTTCAGCCCACTGCATACTTGTCAAAGAAACTAGATCACTCTGTCCAGGGGTGGCTTAGCCTGCTTGAGAGCTGTGGCAGCCACCTGTGAGCTCTTATAGGAAACTAAAACTTTTCCTTGGGACAGCCTATCACCATTTATGCACCCCACCAAGTGCTGAGCCTGCTGAAGCAAAAGGGAAAGTTGTGGCTCACTGCTGGAAGAGTGGGTATGTAACAAACAATTCTTGACAATCCCAAAATCTCCCTCAAAACTATAAGTTAAATCCTGCCTCTCTTCTCCCAGAGTCTGACAGCTTTGTTAATACATGACTGTGCTGACATAATTGAAGAAGTGTACTTGAGCAGAATTGATTTATGGGATCATCATGTGGAAAAGGCAAACTGGACTCTCCATGCAGATGGAAGCAGTTATATGGACAAAGGAAAAAGGAAGGCTGGGTATGCAGTTGTGATTCTTGAAGGAATAGTACAGGTCAAGGCCTTGCCACCGGGAACCTCTGCTCAGAAAGCTGAACTGATTACATTGACAGGGACTCGGGAATTGTCACACAAAAAGAGAGTGAATGTGTATACTGACTCAAAGTAAGCTTTCCTAATTTTGCATGCACATGGTTCCATTGGGAAGGAGAGTACTATGAGCCTTCAATAAGAAGATTAAGCATGCAGCAGAAATTTTAAAACTATTAGAAGCTGTCCAGGTACCTTTACAGGTGGCAGTTATGCACTGTCTGGGGCATTCAGAGAGAGGACACTGAAGTGGCTAGAGGAAATGATCTGGTTGATTGAGCAGCAAAAGAGGCTGGTAAAGGAATGTTTATAATGCCTTTGGTACCTGTTCTAGGCTTGTCACAATTTGACCCTGAATATTTTAATATTTGTAGGATGGTTTTCTTTTTTTTATTTATTTTTTATTGTTGTTTAAATACAGTTGTCTCAATTTTCACCTCACCATGCCCCCCACCCTCAAACCTACCCACTTTGGCTTTGTCCATATGTCCTTTATACATATTCCTTGATGATTCTTCCCATATTATCCCCCTATTATCCCTCTCTTCATTTCTCTTTGGTTATTGTCAGTTTGTTCTTAATTTCAATGTCTCTGGTTGTATTTTGCTTGCTTGTTTGTATTGCTGATTAGGTTACACTTATAGGTGAAATCATATGGAATTTGTCTTTCACAACCTGGCTTATTTCACTTAGCATAATGCTCTCCAGTTCTATTCATGTTGTTGCAAAGAGTAAGATTTCCTTCTTTCTTTCTGCTCCATAGTAGTCCACCATGTAAACGTACCACAGTTTTTTGATCCACTCATTTACTAATGGGCACTTAGGTTGCTTCCAGCACTTGGCTATTGTAAATTGTGCTGCTATGAACACTGGGGTGCATAGGTTCTTTTGAATTCATGTTTCAGGATTCTTAGGGTATAGTCCCAGCAGTGGAATTGTCAGGTCAAAATGCATTTCCATTTTTAGTTATCTGAGGAAATTCCATACTGTTTTCCACAGTGGCTATACCAGTATGCATTCCCACCAACAGTGTACTAGGGTTCTCTTTTCTCCACAACCTCTCCAACACGTGTTGTTTGTTGATTTGTTTATGATGGCAGGATGGTTTCTAATATGTGGGAGGACTTTTTGTTCCTATATTCCAGCAAACAGTTCCAGGGGACCATGCTCTCTGGGAAGATTGATGGTGTTTATACCTCAGAAGCCACACACCACCCAGGCTCAACGGTAATTCTACCTTGCACCTGATTGTAACTGTGATTTATACTTTTTAGCCCCGCTGAATATATATCCTTCACTATATTTTAATGCCAGCCATGTTACCTCTTTGAATATAGAAATAAGTAGATTAGCCTGCATTATGGCAAAAGCTTCAAATGCCACCTCTCAAGCCATTAATGCCATCAATCAAGAACTAGGTCAAATTAGAGAAGTAATCTTAGAAAATTATGCAGCTATAGACAACCTCCTTTTATGACATAATCACAGATGTGAAGAATTTAAAGAACCATGCTGATTCAACCTGACTGGTAATTTACAGCTCATGAAGCATAAAGTAAAGCAAGTAAATGAAGTAGTGTCCTATATAATACAAACAGGAATTCTTTGATACTGATTTATCTAAACTAAACTCCTGACTGCCTAGTATAGTATTCGTGGTCTTAGAGAGGCATTTTTTGTTTTTATTTTTTTCATTTTTTTCAATGTTATAGCTTGTTTTATATGGATCTGCAATTAATTATATTCTTAAACCCTCTACCAGACTATGTAATGCTAAGATACATGCTCAAAACAAAATTATTACTTCAATATGAAACTGATCTCATAGGAATAAAATAGTTTAAACTAATAGTGGGAGGATGATGGAAGAACTCAAGAGTGTATTTTTTTTTGTTTGTTTTAAGGGATAGTTAATAAGCTTAGTAGTTAACATGTAAGAAGCTATTATTTCAGGAACTGAAGGTTTGGCCCACCCTGACTCCAGGAGACTGAAAGCAATTTGACTTTTGTGCTCCAGAGGGGACTGCAAGCAATCCAGATGGTACCTGAGCCATTGTGTTCCAGGAAGAGACATCTTCCACCCAGGACACAGATAAAGAAAATCACCCAGGACACAGGACACAGATAAGAAGAATGGCCCAGGACACAGATAAAGAATCACTGGTCAACAAATGAAAGGGTGCTAAGGAAATTGCTAGACTGAAGCTTTTATCTGTTTAACCTCTTTCCTGAGTTCCAAATCCCTTACCTACACCTTTTCCTCCTTATAAAAAAGGCTGGCTTGAAAAAAAAATGGAAGATGGTCTTTTAGGGTACATAACGCCCCATCTTCTCAGATCTCCAGCCATCTGAATAAAGCACACATAAAGATTCAATCCCTGTCTCTGCTCATTGGTTCTAGTAGTGACAGGCAGCATGGACACCAACTTTTTTGGTTTTAGAAGGAGGAGAAACTAACTTGGTGTGAAGGAGAAAACAGGCTTTCTAGGCAGAGGAAACAACATAAGCAAAGGTCTGAATGAAAGAAAAAACATGGCATATCTGGGTGTAATACAAGATGTGTTCAGTGTGGCTGGAGCCTGGAGAGTGAGGCAGGAAGAGGGACACAATTTAGGCATCCTTGTGTTAACAAGTCTGCATTTTTCCTTGAGGTAAAATGGAAGGATTTTAAAGGTTGGAGTAGCAAGATCAGTTTTGCATTTCAGTAAGCTCCCCCTGGCTGCTATAGTAATAATGGAGTGTCAGGACACACAAAAAGACCAGGAGACCAGTCAGGAAAGAGATTATGAGGGTCTCAACTCATAAGATGGGCCCTGGCTGGTGTGGCTTAGTGGACTGAGTGCTGGCCTGCAAACCAAAGGGTCACTAGTTCAATTCCCAGTCAGGGCACATACCTGGGTTGAGGGCTGGGTCCCCACTGGGGGGTGCACAAGAGACAACCACACATTGATGTTTCCTTCTCTTTCTCCCTCCCTTCCCCTCTCTAAAAATAAATAAATAAAATCTTTAACAAAAAAGAAGATGGCAGTGTAGGAGGATAAGAGGGGAGAATAGATGATCATGTTGTTATTTTGGTAATAAGATGATTAGGAGGAGGAAGTGGCAGAAGTACTAACACTATTGAGGATCTATTCTGTGCCACATAGTGTTTTAAGTTACTTAATTGAAATCACTCACAAATATCCTATGAAAAAAGTATAGTTGGCCCTTGAATAACATAGGTTTTTAACTATGCAGATCTACATATACACAGATTTTTTTCTATAATATCTAGTTCGCCTTCAGTATCTGCAGGTTTCACCTCCTTGGAGTCAACCAACCATGGGTTGAAAATGGTACAGTTGGGCATTTTTGGATGTAGAGGGCCTACTATATGCATTTCTTTGCCATTTTATGTAAGGGACATGAGCATTCACAGATTTTGGTATCTGAGGGAGGCTCCTGGAACCAATTCCTTACAGATACCAAGGGATGACTATTGTTAAGTTTTGGGGAGTCAAAAGTTATATGTGGATTTTTGACTGCACAAAGAGTCAGCATAGCCCCCATGTTGTTCAAGGGTCAACTGTAATATTTAAATTTTAAATTTTGAGGAAACTGAGACACAGGGAGGTTAAGTAACTTGCCAAAGTTACTTAAAAGTTAATAAATTAAGATAAGAGAAGGCATACTCTTTGAAGCAGAGAATAGAACCGTGGCTGCCCAGAGCTGGGGTTGGGGGAAATCGGGAGATATTAGTCAAAGAATACAAACTATCAGTTTTAAAGTGAATAAGTTCTGGAGATCTAAGGTATAGCCACAATAAGTATAGTCACAAATAGTGTGCTGAACACTGGAAATAAGCTGAGAGTAGATTTCAGGTACACTGGTCACACACAAATGGTAACTGTGAGGAGATGGATGTTAATTAGCTTGATTGTAGTAACCATTTCACTACGTATATGTATATCAAATCATCATGTTGTAAACCTTAAATATACACAGTATACAATTTTTATTAAAATTTTATTAAGTTGAGTAAAAAGTCTTTGTTAGTGGATTTAATGAGGGGGATGAAGCTAACTAGTTACCCAACTCCTGTATCTTCTTACCTCATAGCTGCCAATGAAACTAAGGGTGCATTTGGGGAGGGGGCACTCATTATCATTTTCATCTCCTTCGTTCCTGAATAGTAATGTAGTTTATGATCTTTTATAATCACTTCCTCTGAACAACTGCAGCTCTCATCTCAAGTATCAGAATAAATTAATATATTTATTTTCTTTCAGGAGCCCAACATTCAGATTGCAGCTCACTAACCTTCATCAAATACAGCAAAAAGTAGTACAAATTCATTCAAGGTCTGTGTCCTTTCTCTGGCCAAACTTCCTGCAAAAGAAGTGAGAGCATTTACCTTCTATTAAAAATCCTTTTATAGCAAATTGACACTAAGAGGAGACATTATTTCATCAACAGTTTAAAAGTAAACATGAATATAGTCCTTTGTCTTCTGTTAACTTTACCATAACATCATTTGTTTGATGACAGGTCTCCTTTATCATTGCTTCTAAAACTATTTAGGGTAAAGACCTCTTTTTTAATTTCAAATTTGTTGTAGACCACTATTTTTATAAAATACAATAAAAATAATTATTAAAATATGAAATTAAAAGACACACAAAATATAAGCCATATAATCATATCTTATTTACAGGGTGGGGCAAAGGTAGGTTTACAGTTATTTATATGGAAAACAATACAATAATTAATAAGTAATAAAAGAATAAACTGTGCTTCCTGTACTTACAACCTACTTTTGCCCCACCCTGTGTATATGTATGTGTTCAGAGCAAGTATAAAAGAGGAAAAGAAAAATTATAAAAACAATACACACTATTCATGGAAAATGTACCTATAAGCAATTAATGTAGAGAATTTGTATTATGTTTTAACATTTTTTTTACTTCTGCAGTTATAAATAAACAAAAAGTTATGAGCAAAATAACAGCTGTCCATATTAAATACCGTAGTCACACTTTAAATGAACACCATGTACACCAATATTTAAAATTGTTAATGTTAAAAATGAGCTTGCTTCATGCTTTCATAGGTTGAATTTGTTGGTTGTTATTCTTAACATTCTATTTCTTCACTGTATTGAAAAGTTTTCTTTGAAAGCTTATTTCAAGTAGCAAGGTTTTTGCTTATGATAGTCCCCTTTTGTCTCTCTTGTACCCTTGATGCTTAGAAAGTAAAAGTTTTATTGGACAAAGAAAGTTACTTACTCATACAAATTTAAAATACATTCAAAGCTGTCTGAAAACATTTTAATTCTTCTTATTTTATTTTTAAATTATCATATAGTGGAATTGACTTTCACTTTTTGGTGAACTACCACCAACAGGATACAGAACAGTTCCAAAAGCTCCCCAAACTCCCTCCTTCTATCCTTTTAAGTCATATATCCAGTATGTGTATGTGTATATACTGGAGTATATGTATACACTATATAGTTGCATTTTTGAGAATGTGATATAAATGGAACCATACAATATATAAGCTTTTGAATCTGACTTTTTTACTTGGTATGTCTTTGAGATTCATCCATTTTGTTGCATGTATCAATACTATATTTATTTTATTTCTGGGTAGTAGTTTGTGGTATGGATGTACCACAATTTGGTTAACCATTCACTTACTGAAGAACATTTAGGTTGTATCCAATTTTTGGCTATTACAAATAAAGCTGCTGTGAGCATTCATATACAGATTTTGTATGAAGGCTAAGCTTTCATTTCTCTAGGGTAAATACTAAGGAATGGAAATAAAGTTTATATTTAACTTTATAAGACACTGCCTACAATTTTGATACCAATTTCAGTGTGTGTGGGTTTTTCCCCAACATTGAGTAATTCTGGGACATGAACTGGGTGTCATACAATTTAACTCAATTCTGACATATTTTCCTGGAGTTGGCATCAGACCCAACAGGTTAAGGACTCAGTCCTACAAGACAGCCCTCCCTCTATCACTTCAGATGCCAACTGCAAGTCCAGGTTGTCACCTATGCTTCTGATCAATCGGCTATAAATCAGAGGTTCCAGTGACCCCACCTTGGGTTCCATTAATTTTTTAGATTGGCTCACAGAACTCGGAGACACATATTACATACTGGACTACCAGTTTATTATAAAAGATTATAACAGAAACAGCCAGATGGGAGATATGCATAGGGAAGATATGCATAGGAAAAAGAGAGGAGACTTTCTATGTCCTCTTTAGGCGCATCACTCTCAGAGCACCTTTAGATGTTCACCAACCAAGAAGCTTGCCAACCCCGTCCTTTTAGGTTTTTATAGAGGCTTCATTACATAGGCATAATTGATTGAATTACTGGCCATTGGCAATTAGACTCAATCTCCATCCCCTCCACCCCATCATGCAAGTGGGACTGAAAGTTTCAACCCTCTAATTACATGGTTGGCTCCACTGGCAACCAACTTCCAACCTTAGGTATTTTCCAAAAAGTCACCTCATTATTGTAACAAAGGATACATTTATCACTATCATCATAGGATGTTACAAGGGTTTCAGGAACTCTGCCAGGAATGGGATGAAAGTCAAATACATATATCTTATTTTAAATCATATATCACACTACTAAATTATTTTCCAGAGTGGCATTACCACTGTGAATTCCCATGAACAATGTCATTCTGCATTCTTGCCAGCATATTTGATAATTTTAAAATTGTTATTTTAGCTATTCAAATAGGTATATAGCAGCCTTTTGCTGTGGCTTTAATATGCATTTTTCTAATGGTTAATGACATTGAGCATTTTTTCACATACTTATTTGCCACTTGTATATCTTCCTTGGTAAAGTATCTATTCAAATCTTTTGCTCATTTAAAAAAATAGGTTGTTTTTTTCTTATTGTTGAGATTTGAAAGCACATTATATATTCTGAATATAAGTCCCTTGCCAGATATGTGATTGGCAAATATTTTCTCTCAATCTGTAGTTTGTTTTTTTCATTTTTTACCAGTGTTTTTTTTACAAAACAAATTATTACTGTTGATAAAGTCAAATTTATCAATTTTTAAATAAATGGTGTTTTTAGTGTTTTCTCAGAACCCTTCTCCTAACCTCAGATTATGAATATTTTTCTGTTATATTTCCTAAAAATTTTATTGTTTTACATATTACATTTGTATCTATAATCCATTTGAGTTAATATTTGTATAAGTAGTAAGGCTTAGAATCGTTGCATATAGGTGTCCAATTTTTCTAACACCATTTGTTGAAAAGTCTATCCTTCCTCCATTGAATGGTTTTTGTACCAAATCAATTGGGCATACTTATGTGGATCTGTTTCTGGACTCTATTCTATTCCATTAATGTATGAGTCTATTCCATTAACCAATACATGTTATGATTAATGCAGTTTTGCAGTAAGTTGTAAAATTGAGTAGAATTATTCTCCTAAATTTATTCTTCTTTTTCAAAATCATTTTAGCTAATCTAGTACTTTCACCTTCCCATATAAATTTCAGAATCAGCTTTCTATAGCTACAAAAAAAACATCATTCTGGGATTTTGATTGAAATTATAGCTCAGTTGGTTAGAGCATTGTCCCAATACACCAAGGTTCAGAGTTTGATCCCCAGTCAGGGCACATACAAGAAGCAACCAATGAATGCATAAATAAATGGAACAACAAATCTCTCTCTCTTTCTCTCTCTCTCTCCCTCCCTCGCTCCCTCTGTTCCTCCTTTTCTTTCTTTAAAATCAATAAATAAAATATTTAAAAATATATAGATTGGGGAGAATTGAGGATTTCACTATGTTGCATCTTATAGTTCAAAAACAGTATTTCTATTTTTATTTTTGTACTTTGTTTTTATTTGTTATTTTTTACAGTTAATATTTGTTTAACATTTTCTTATTGTTGTTCAAGGATAGTTTTCTGCCTTCCCCCCCACCACCCCAGCCCTCCCCACCTCCCTCTCCTGTTTCCACCCCCCCTTGTTATTGTCCATGTGTCCTTTATAATTGTTCCTGAAAACCCTCAAAAACAGTATTTCTTTCTATTTAGGTCTGTTTCAGTTCTTTCACCAGTACTTCGTAGTTTTTACTACACGTGTATATGTTTTGTTACATTTACCTAAGTTTTAGATTTTTTGAGCTATTGCAAATATTATTTATTTTTAAATTTTGATTTCCAGTTATTAATTGATAGTATATAGAATACAATTTATTTTAACAGCATTATTGAGATATAATTGATATACAAAGAATTGCACATATTTAATGTGTATAATTTGATGAATTGGGACATAGGAAAGCACCCCATGATACCATCACCAAATCAAGGTAATAGGCATATCCAGTATCTCCTAGGATTTCCTTGTGCCTCTTAGAGAGAGAGAGAGAGAGACAGAGACAGAGAGAGACAGAGAGAGACAGAGACAGAAAGAGTGTGTGTGTATTAAGACCATTTAATGTGAGATCTACCCTCTTAAAACATTTTGAAGTGTACAATATCATATTGTTAACTATACAAACTGTTGTAAAGCAGATCTCTAGAACTGAAACTGAAATAACTGAAATAACTGAAATAACTGAAACACCATACCTTTTGAATACCAACTCCCATTTTTTTCTACCCCACCTTCTGGCAACCACTATTATATTTTATGCTTCAATGAGAATTTAAGACTATTAAACTTATGGGGAGGATGGAGGCATACGTAAATATGCTTTGCTACCTCAAACAACCAAAAGAAGGACAACAACAAATTTAAAAAACAAACAAACAAAAAAACCCAGAAGTGACAGAAAATCAAACTATTGGAAGTCTGACAACCAAGGAGTTAAAGAAGAAACATTCTCCAAACTGGTAGGAGGGACAGAAACAGGCAGCTGGGGCAGAGAGGATGTGGTGCAAGGCAGCAAACCAGTGGCAGTGAGGTGGTGACTGGCAGACCAGGGCAGGCAAGGCAATGGCTGGCAGACTGGGCAGTCTTACATTTGGGTGTGGGTAAACTGGGAGAAACAACTGGGGAGCGAGACAGACCACACAACTCAGAGTTCTAGCACAGGGAAATAAAGCCTCAAAAGCTTTAGCAGTAAAAACCTGTGAGGGTTGTGGTGGTGGGAGAAACTCCCAGCCTCACAGGCGAGTCTGTTGGAGAGTCCCACAGGGTCCTAAAGGTATACAAGCCCACCTACCTGGGAATCAACACCAGAAGGGCCCAATTTGTTTGTGGGTACCAGGAGAAGTGACTGAAAGCCAGGCAAGAGCTGAGCAAGTGGCATTGTTTCCTCTTGGAACCCTCCCCCACATACAGTGCCACAATGCAGCTACATGGGTTGTCTTGCCCTGGTGAATACCTAAGGCTCCATCACTTACCACATAACAGACATGCTGAGACAAAAAAAATATATGACCCAAATGAAAGAACCGGACAAAACTACAAAAATAGAACTGAGTGATGAAGAGCTAGCCAACCTATCAGGTACAGAGTTCAAAACACTGGTAATCAGGATGCTCACATAAATGGTTAAGTATAGTCACAAAATAGAGGAAGAACTTAAGGCTATGCAAAGTGAAATATAGGAAAATGTACAGAGAACCAACAGTGACAGGAAAGAAACTGGCACCCAAATCAATGATTTGGACCAGAAGGAACAAAGAAACATCCAACCAGAACAGAATGAAAAAAAACAACAACCAAGAATTCAAAACAATGAGGAGAGGCTTAGGAACCTCTGGGCCAACTTCAAATGTTCCAACATCCAAATCATAGGGGTTCCAGAAGGAGAGAAGGAAGAGCAAGGGATTGAAAACTTATTTGAAAACATAAGGAAGGAAAACTTTCCTATCCTGGCAAAGGAAATAGACTTCCAGGAAGTCCAGGAAGCCCAGAGAGTCTCAAACAAGTTGGACCCAAAGAAGCACAGAGCAAAGCACATCATAATTCCATTAGCCAAGATTAAAGATAAAGAGAGAATCTTAAAAGCAGAAAGAGAAAAGGAGACAGTTACCTACAAAGGAGTTCCCATAAAAATATTAGGTAATTTCTCAGAAGAAACCTTGCAGATAAGAAGGGGCTGGAAAGAAGTATTCCATGTCATGAAAGTCAAGGACCTACATCCAAGATCATTCTCTCCAGTAAAGCCAATATTTAGAATGGAAGGGCAGATAAAGTGCTTCCCAGGTAAGGTCAAGTTAAAGGAGTTCATCATCACCAAGCCCTTATTAAATGAAATGTTAAGGGGACTTATCTAAGAAAAAGAAGCTGATCAAAAATATGAACAGCAAAATGACTACAAACTCACAAATATCAACAACTGAACCTAAAAAAAAACAAACTAAGCAAACAGTTAGAACAGGAACAGAATCATAGAAATGGAGATCACATGGAGGGTTATCAGTGGAGAGAATGGGGGAAAACGTACAGGGAGTAAGAAGCATAAATGATAGGTAGAAAATAGACAGGGACAGATTAAGAATAGTATGGGAAATAGAAAAGCCAAAGAACTTATATGCATGACCCATGGACATGAACTAAGGTGGGGGGAATGCTGGTTGCAGGGAAGGTGCAGCATGGAGGGGAATAAAGGGGAGAAAAAATGGGACAACTGTAATAGCATAATCAATAAAATATATTTTTAAAAAGTGTAGGGATAGGTAGTACCATATCTTCCTATAACTTCCCAGATTCATAACTGGGACAAAATAAAACTGGTGAAGCTGATTTCACCATTAAAAATTTAGGATTAAAATAGATTATACAACATTTATTCTCTAATTTAGTTTATAGTATGAAACTATAAATTAAAAGAAGACAATTAAAATTAAGATTATTTTTAAAATAACAACTTATAAACATAAATAAATGCTTACTTTCTCAGATTTTTATATGCTTTTGGGTTAGAGATGACAAACTAACTTCCCAAAGTAGTCTATACACCAATGACCACACACTTGGACATGCCTACCTTCATGAAGCTTTCAAGAAACCTAACACAAAATTTACAAAAGGCACTGCTGGGACAGTCCACAGGATATTTGAAGTGGAAAGCAGCAGTGGTTTGAGAAGAGAGACATAATTCAAAAAGTTGGCTTTTATTGACCGTGAAAGTACAGTATGGCAGCATAGGATGGGCATTTGCTCCTTTAAAAAACTGGACTATTCTTTTCATGAGCATGATGCTAGAGAAAAGGAGCCTCTTTCAGATTAAAGAACACAAATGCTATCTTTTATTGATAGACCCAGATACTTCCCTCCTTATTTTCTCTCATTCCTATCCTTTCTTACACTTACCTTCTCTACAAACCAGCAGGGTTCCAATGAGGCCTGAATTCAGGTCTTTCACCAGGTCTACATGAGAAAAATAGGAGTAGGTGAGACATGGTGGGTCTGAGGCCATTGGACCATTCTCTTTCAGGACCTGCCAGACGTAGGTGTGACTTTCGCCAGGGATGACTTTATCATCTTCCTTCTCCCTTTCAATGGTCTGATCCTCATATTCAGAACCTAAAGCAAGAATGCATAAAATTGTCCTTTTTATGCCCATTGTTCACTCAGGGAAACATATCAAGTTTATCATCACCAGTAGATTCCACACAAGGAACAGACTTTCTGCAACTTAATTTAGAAGACCAACAAGCAGCAGTTATAAATGGGGAGAAGCCTCATGTACTCCAGGGGAGTTCTAGGCCACTAATACAAACATAAGTGGTGAGTGTTTCTCAATGAGACCTCCACACTCTAACCAATTATTTTCTTTTATTATTGTATATTTTAACCTAATTGACATCAGTTTAACTCAACAGACACATATTGGGTATGTACTTTGCCCCAGACTGTTTAGTAAGCACTGGGGAGGATCAGGGAAGGAGAAGATACAGAGATTTTTTTAAAAAAAGATTTTATTTCTTTTTGGTGAGAAGGGGAGGGAGGGAGGGAGAAAGAGGGAGAGAAACATTAATGTGTGGTTGCCTCTCATGTGTCCCAACTGGGGACCTGGCTGGCAACCCAGGTATGTGCCCTGGCTGGGAATAGAATCAGAGACCTTTTGATTTGCAGGCTGGTACTCAATCAATTGAGCAATATCAGCCAGGACTAGATACAGAGATTTTTAAAAATGTTTTTAACTTGGTTCTCTCTAGAGGGGCAGATCACATAAGGGGCAGATATATTCTGTCTGTCTTATCTTTAAAAATGTTAAATTTGAACCCTGGCTTAGCCTGATACTTCTATTGTAAACTGAGCACTATATGTGTTCATTGCTAATGAAGTGTCATTGCATCTAAGTCTTCTATTGCTTCTATTGAAACATTTTTCTAGTAACTAACCATAGCTTTATAATGGTCTCTGAAGTTTCACAGTAGCAAAAGCATCCAGGGTGCTCTTCATTTGTACCCCCTCTTGTCTCACAACATTTATACACCATCTCCAACATAGCAGTGCAAGCGACCTGTGTACTGCCCTTGTTCTGCCAATATTTTTACTACAAATTCTTCGCAGCCAAAGGCCACCCCCAAAGTCTAGGTGGGTGGTCCCCACTATAAAGTCAGCTTATCTGGGGTATAGGGAAAACCCCTCCAGTGGGGACTAGGGACAACTGGTTTCATCAAGAAGCAACAGCAAACCAATACCTGTGCTTGGAAAACCTTGGTGGACATTTAAAAAAACTAGTTGGCATCTGAGGATGGAGGATGTGGTTCATCTGTCTATGTGATCGTGGGTCAGTATCAAGTTCTAGATAGTGGATATGTTTGGATAGGGAGGGGGGATCATGGAGGGATACAGAAGGGGCTTCAACTATATCTATAATGTTAAATTAAGCAAAGATGGTCAAATGTTAAGTTTTGACAAAGTAAGGTGATTGGCACATGTTTGTTTGCAATATTATTTCCTATAATTTTCTTTGTTTAAAATATTTAATTAAGAAAAGAATACCATTTTTCTTAATACTAAGGTTGGGAGAGGGGTATTAAGAGTTTTGATGGGAGGCCAAGAATGTGTGAAACAGTATAGCTTTCTTGGGGAGAAGGACAGTGAACAGACTAGGAGAAATGTAGCATTAGGATGGTCAGGCAGTGCTGTGGAACAACGTGAAGTAAGATATTATGAACTTAGTGATACAACCCCATTTGACTGTGTGATTTTTATTGCAAGTATGCTATTCACTTGATGGCTAGCAGAATAGGTGATGAACAGATTTAGCCAAGGTAGAGGTTTAGCCAAGTGAACACAATTGACATCAAGGAGGTCAGGAACTTGAGACTGCATGTAAGGGAACCATGGTCATGATGAGCCAGGGCATCTAAACTGCACAAGGAGGGAAATGAAAAATTAAGGGGCAAAGTGATGGTGAAAAAAAATGTAGGATTGATGGATGGTAGGTCTAAATGAGAATGAAGAGTTGTTGAAGTGGGCAGTAAGAGAATGAGAGCTGAAAAAATAGATGATACTCAAAATGTTGAAGGCTTGAACTTGAAATTTCAGGGGCTACACAAGCTGCTAATAACAATTTGTATCCTTTAATGAAGACAAAGTTGATTGTGAAGAGCAAGTGGAGTAAGTGGTGCTTGGGAAAAAGTACTGTGCACAGCCCTTAGAGTTTACATATCTACTTATGTGCATTGTGTTTGAAAGATTTCTGCTTCCATAAGTATTTTCTGCACTTATACATCAGCCACCTGCAAATATTCTAAGTAGAATGTGTTTTGTATAATTTTCATCTTCTATTATACAAGGAAAAGTACTGTTCACACATTTGAGAGTTCAGGGAGTCTGACTGTCTGCTTCCAATGTGCCTTGTGTATGGAAGATAACCTAAGGAGTGTACTGAAAAGAAACAGAAGCCCACTTCTGAAAGGAAGTCATTTTATCCCTTGAGCCAGTAAAAGTCTTTTTAAGTGCTTTTGGGTTTGAGATACACAATGAAAAGAGAAAAGTTGAGTAGGATTTCCTGTTGGGAAAACTGAATAACCATCCTAAATGTAGTGGTGTAAACAGCCACTATTTTATTATGCTCACTGGTCTATGGGTCAAGAATTCAGACAGGACACAGGCAAAATGGTCACTCTACTCCATGATGTCCAGGGCATCACCTGGCATAACTCAAATAGCTGAAGAATGGAATCATCGGGAGGCTTTTTTCACTCACATATCTAGTACTGGGCTACAATGACTTGAAAACTGGATTCAGCTAGGACTGTCGACCAGAGCATCTACACATGGCCTTTCTATTTGCTTTAGCTTTCTCATAGTATAGGAACCTTGGGGACTAAGGCTTCCTACATGGAATCTCAGGATTCCAGGAGTTTCCACAAACAAGTTAGAAGAAGCATGTTCTTTTATGATTCAGCCTCAGAAGTCACATGGCATCACTTCTGCCATACACTATTGGTCAAAGCACTTACAAGCCCACTGAAAGACTAAAGGGGAAGAATATAGATTCCCACTTTCAATGGGAGGTATGTCAAGGTACCTGCTGCCATGTTTTAAAACCACCACACCAGGGCATTATGAAAATGAGCAACCATTGTGTTTTGAAGCTGACAGGTGTCTCAACAAGCAATGTACTCTCAGTTACCAAGATTGTTGGGTACTTTATACAAAGACCTTGTGGTTATGGGCCATGGGAATCATGTATCCACCTTCCACCCCAATCCTAATCCTTTTGTGTCCTCTGATGTCTGTCTATGGCCTTTTATCTGCATCCTCCCTCTGCCTAGCTTCTGTTGCACTGTCTGTCCTAGATAACTCTCTATTTAACCCCCTGAAGCTGGTGGGTCAGCCTTGCCCCTGGCCTAGCCTAAGCTCCTGGATGCTAGCTTGCTCAGACATCCCAAATTCCTGTGCCCAGTAGGAGTTGCAACACTTTCTGAGCCCACATGCCAGAGATTTTTGTTGGTCTCAATCCTAGAGGGCCACAGTTTAGTGACCCCTGGGAACAACTGTTCCAACACAATCCAAATGCTGTGCTTTAGGGGCTACTCCACCCTACTCTCTGGTGCCTTCAACTATTTATCCTTTGCCTAATGTCTACTCAGCAACTTTGTGTTGATACTTCTTTAGTTGTATGTCCCCATGCTATCCTTCAGATCTCCCTCAAAGTTTTTCAGCTCTGGCTCCTTTTACAGACACTTCATGTGAACTATCTTGATTAAACTATGTGCTTTTAGATTCTATTAGCCAAACCACATCATATGACTAAGCCCAACATCAATATGGTGGGTAAATGTACTCCTTTTACTCTAGGGTAGGGGATGACTATTTGCCGAACAGTAATACACTTTATCAGAGTTGGCTTGGGAGATAAAAATGACAGGCTTGCAAAACCATAGAGATACAAAGAATATCAGTGGTTTCCTGGGACTGGGAGCAGGAATAAGGCTTGAACTGCAAAGAAAGAACTTCTTGAAGTGCCAGAAGTATCATAAAGCTGGATTGTGCTAATGACTACACAACTGTCTAAATTTACTAAAAGTCATCAAACTACCTTAAATGGGTAAATTTTGTGGTATTTAATTTGTACCTCAATAAAGCTGTTTAAAAATGCTATGAGGTAGCCATAAACAAAAATTAAATTGAGATGAATCACAGACCTAAATGTGATGGGTAAAATAATAAAAACTTCTAGAGAAAAGCATAGAAGAAACTCTGCATGACTTTGGGGCGGGCAAATGCCTTAAACAGGACACAAAGCTCTAAAATAAAAGGTAAATGTGATAAATTTTTGTGTTTCATTAACTGTTGAACTTCCATGCTTCATTAAGAACTTCTGTTTACAAAAAAAAATTAAGAGTGAAAATTCAACCCCAGACTAGAAAAAGATAATCAAATACTTATAGCTGTCATTAGATTTATAGTCAGAATATATAACATACCTCTACAAATCAAGAAGAAAATGATAAACAACTCATTTGTTTTCAACAGGACAAACACTTCAACACTTGATCAAATTCTTTACCAAAAAATATTGAAAGATATCAACAAACATATAAAATGATATTCAACATCATCACAGATTTACTTAACCATCTGGAACCCCCATATTAGTATAAGAAGGCCATAACCTTGTGGATCATAATATAAAAATATAAAGGCTTATGATGGGACCATAAATCACATGGGCATAAGGCCATCACCTCACTGTGTTGTTCCTGGGAAGAAACACTGTAGATGCTCCTGTAAGAGAGCAGATGGTCTATTTTTCCAGACCTTACCTGGCTTGGGATAGAAAAGAGTCATCTCTATGCTGAGTCCCCAGTTGCAAAATTGTGAGAAACCTGGCCTCTCTAAAATGCCCCTAGATTTGTTCTAGAAACTCACAAGTGGATAAGCCTCATGGAAATAGCCAGCCAGGCTCTAGCCTGAACCTGGGATAACTTTTCCTCTATATAACCTACCCCATCCTGTCTCCTTCCCCCAATCCAGGTCGGCCCTGGCCACATGAGTGCAATCCAGAAAATTAAGGCCTTCCAATTGCAGAATGAGAAATTGGTCAATATGTAAGCACAGTTAGGCTGTGAAACAAAGGCCATGTGCTCCAATACTTTATTAATGATTTCCTGGAATCTTCTTGATCTACATATGTTAAGATCTATCTGGACAATATCATAGTTGATTGTGGCACCCTCTTCACTCCCTTCCTGCACTATGAAGTTTAAGGAGAAGATAGTTGAAGTGGGGACTTTGGCCAAACAGGTTGTTTGTTTTAACAAGGTCAGCTTGTGCTTCTGTTATTTGGCTCTCATCACATGGTGGCATCCATATTTAGAAATTGAGAGTAAGGGAAGGAGAGGAAATATCTGAAAAGTCAGAATCTAAGGAAGAAGGAGAATTCTGTTTAAACTTTATACCATGAGTCTTGACCTTTCCCTAGGAAGTTTCCTGGGCATAGGAAGGCAGATGAAGTGGGAATTTTAGAATCTGTGGCCTGGGTCCCTATGGGAAAACAGAGGACCAAGTCAAAACTTTGGGGATGAGACTAAAATGACAATATTCTTAATTTCATGAAATGGGCCTAGGTTGGAATCCTAATTCTACTATTCACTAGTTGCATGACCTTATACTCAATACTCTTCTATACCTAGATAACAATACAATAGGAGGACATTTGACTCACCTTCGGAAGCTTTCCAGTAGGATACACCGACAGCATGAAGACTGACAGCATGAGAAGCCATGTTTTTAAGTGTAATGAGTACTGTGTCATAAACCTCAGCCCGGATGGTAGGACCCAGCAGACCTGCAAGAATGAGATGGTTCCCAAAGGTCACTTGGATGGTGTCACTCCAGAAAACCTGTTGTTATGAAAGTCATGGTCAAAGTCACAGTAGAGAAGCATGCCCTTATGATTATTGATAAAAAGTAGTTAAATGAATGAATGTAGAAACTTCTATCACCAGCTCAACCTCATGGTTGTCCTGAGGACAGAGTTCTGGCAATTCATTCAATGCATTCATTCATTTAACTAATATTAGTTGAGTTCTTACTATATTCTAGAAACTGTCCTAGGGGCTGGAGATGCAGTAGTCAGTAAGACATCATGGAGATCACATTTGAGAGACATTAAGCACATAAAGAAACAAAAAAGAAAGTTCTAGGTTGTTATAAACACTAGAAAATATGGTAATGTGCTAGAAAATGATGAGGCTGGAGGTAGAAGATACTTTAAGTATAGTCATCAGGAAGGGCCTCTCTGAGGATGTAGCATTTTAGCAGAGATACAACTAATAAAAAAGGAAGATTTGCAAAGATCTGGTGGAAGAGCACTCAACACAGATAAAATAAATGCAAAAGACCTGAGACAGGAATAAGCTTCACCTAGTTGAATACATGTTGTTGAAACAAGCAGGGGAGTAACAGAAAATAAGGGTATAGAGGTAGGCAGGGAACATAACATGTAGCACTTTGTAGGCCATGGGAGTTTGGAGGAATTTAGAATTTATAAGAAGTAAGGAAAAAAAAGAAAAATGAAAGAAAAAAGAAGTAAGCAGACTTAGGACTTGTTTTGGAGGAAGAGTCAGTAAGACTTGCTGATAGATTGGATGTTGGAGATAGAAAAAAAAAAGAGACAGGATCCAGAGGTGACTGCTGTGATTCTGGTTTGTGTAACTGGTAGTCAGGCTATGATACAGAAAATTAAGAGAAAAATTAAGACTCCTGATTTATAGACATATTAAGTATAAGATACATAGAAATGATTTATTGAATGAACTGGATTCAGTGGGATGAAAATATGAAATGCTTTATTTTTCATAATTTTTCATTGCATTAGGTAGAATTTCCCTTTCTTGCAATTAGAACAATTCCAATTTTTTACAGTAATCTTTACATATCAACAGCATAATTTTTAGGTAATAAGTCCAGTCCACTCTAATATCGAACTTTTTATCTCACCCAAAATTTAAGGGTTCCTCCCTATTCCAGCTAAGCTCTGACTGGCACAGAATACTTAATGGGAAAAAGGTTGTTTGGTTGGAAGTTTCACTGGTTTTCACATTTGTCTCCTAATCCTTCTCCCCCACTCACCTTACTGACTCTTGACCCTCTAAGGTTGGAGCTAGTGGGAAAAAGAACAAGGATGAAAAAAGAGGTGTGATGACAAGATCTTTCTTAGTAGAAGCAGTGGTAAAGTGGCCTTGGTACCCCCTAGCTCTGACACATGCCAAAATTCTGGCTTTTTCTTTCTTAGGGAACTTATATGAGTTTTTTGGAGATTTTCTCCTTTCAAATATATGTGTACCCCACTGCACCACTCCCTGGCATGAGATATATCTTCTCCACCTGTCACTTGTATCTCTCCTCTCAGTTCTTCTTTCTGGCAGTAAAATCACATCATATAACTTTTTTTTTCTGTTGGGGTCATCTAGCTCTGGAAGGAAGACCTCTCAGACAAGGTCTTCTTGACACAAATCTTGCCCTGTGACCTTCCTGGCTTCACACCTAACAGTGGAAGTACAGTTAACTTCTGCTATAGACTACTTCATTGTTACAACTTCATGGGAAGTTCCCTCAAGACTCTGGCCTTAAAAGTTTTTCCAAATAAAACCAGGCACTAGTCAGTTTCTCCTAAACTCCAGAGATCCTATTTAAAATCTTCTAAGTAATTCTCCTGAAGCTTCTCTCACTATAGCTTGATATGAGGGGGAGGCCTCCCCCCCTCATGGGCAGGGGACATACAAAACATGAAAAATCTTGTCCAAAAAAATCTCAACTCTAAGCTCTTTTATAAGTTCCTAGCTTTTCTATACATAAGCTGGTGGTGTGTGATGGGGCAAAAGGTTGCAAAACCAATTTTGGACCACTGCCTGAATGAACAAGTCCTGAATAGATGGGCTGATGTCTCTCTGTAGAATTTGGAGACGCTTGTCACCTATAATTTTAAGCAATAATTCTAAGGTAGAAAATGTCTCATCTTAACATCTTGTTACATGCTTATTTGACATCTAAGTGAAGGTATCAAGCAAGCAGCCCGAACTGAAGATATAAGCTTGAGAGTTATTAGCATAGAGTTATTTTAAAGCTATGAGACTGGACAAGATCATCTATGGATTGAAAGTAGAGAGAAAAGAAAACAAACTCAGGTCCAGTACCCAGGGAACTCCAGTATATAGAGAATAAGCAGAGGAGGAGAGTACAGCAAAAAGATTGAGAAGACTCAGCCAGTGTATTTCCCTGAGACATGGTAGTAAGGAAAAACATTTGCTTTTGCAGATGTTCTCTTCAACTGCAGGCCCAAGACTGATAAATCTTCCCTTGGAAATAAGACACCTAATTTTATAATAAACAGTCAATATTGTTTTCATTACCCATCCATGGTGGCCTGGGCTTGGCAATGTTGAAAAGGTGATCTGTGAACTCTACAAAGACAGTCTTTTTGTACATGACTGAGGTGCTGAGTGGAAAAGATTTTTGCACTCCAGGAGGAAACCTGTGTGAAGAAAGGAAAAAGTCGTTCATTTTAGTGAACTTTCTTTGAACCTACTTGGAAAGGGAGCTGGAAGTAATGTTTCTACCCCACTTTCCTTGACTGTTAAAGCAAATTGGAAGTTGTATATGAATTCCTACTATAGACTGAATGTTTCGGTGCAGAGCACTCATGAATGGGATTAGTGCCTTATAAAAGAGACCATAGAAAGATCTCTCACCTATTTTACCATGTGAAGTTACAGTAAAAATATGACCATCTATGAACTAGGAAAAGGACCTTTACCAGATACCAAAGCAGTACTTTCATCTTGGACTTCAACCCTCCAGAACTGTGTGAAATAAATGACTGTTGTTTATAAGCAACCCAGTCTATGGTGTTTTGTTATAGTAGCCTGAACTGACTAATACAATCCCTAACATCTATGAAAGCAAAACCTTGTGTTTAAAAGTCATCTGATACCTTAGGTGCCATGTGATAAGATAAATCATAAAATTGATACCCATACACTGAATCAGCTAAAAACTATTTTACCAAAGCAACAACTACAGCATTCTTCAATTTCAATTTCATCTTTAAAACAGACTATAACAGAAAATTTTGGACAAGATGGGGGTATATGTAGATACACTTTCCCTTCTTGCACAACCAAAAAAAAAAAAAAAGACAACAACAAATTTAAAAACAAAAATTGACCAGAACTACCAGAAAATCAAATTGTATGGAAGTCTGACAATCAAGGAGTAAAGAAGAAACATGCATCCAGAATGGTAGGGGATGGAGGTGGGCAGCCAGGACAGAGGACTCATGGCAAGGCAATGACTGGAGGAGCAGGTGGTCCCACATTTGCATGTAGATAAACCAGGAGGAACAACTGGGGAGTGAGATAGACCATGCAACCCAGGGTTTCAGTGCAGGGAAATAAAGTCTCAAAAGCTCTGGCAGTAAAAACCTGTGAGGGTTGTGGTGGTAGGAGAAACTCCCAGCCTCACAGGTGAGGTCTTTGGAGAGACCCACAGGGTCTTACAATGTACACAAACCTACCCACCTGGGAGTCAGCACTAAAGGGGTCCAATTTGCTTGTAGGTAGTGGGGAAAGTGACTGAAAGCCAGCCAAGAGCTGAGCAAGTGGCATTGTTAACTCTTGGATTCCTCCTCCACATACAGTCTCATAATGCTACTATGTGGGTTGCCCCACCCTGGCAAATACCTAAGTCTCTGCCACTTATTACATAACAGGCACACCAAGACAAAAAAAATATGGCCCAAATGAAAGGACAGATCAAAACTACAAAAATATAATTAAGCAATGAAGAGATAGCCAAACTATCTGATGCAGAATACAAAACACTAGTAATCAAAATGCTCACAGAAATGGTTTAATATGGTCACAAAATAGAGGAAGAACTTAAGGCTATGCAAAGTGAAATATAGGAAAATGTACAGAGAACCAACAGTGACAGGAAGGAAACTGGCACCCAAATCAATGATTTGGACCAGAAGGAACAAAGAAACATCCAACCAGAACAGAGTGAAAAAACAAGAATTCAAAGCAATGAGGAGAGGCTTAGGAACCTCTGGGCCAACTTCAAATGTTCCAACATCCAAATCATAGGGGTTCCAGAAGGAGAGAAGGAAGAGCAAGGAATTGGAAACTTATTTGAAAACATAAGGAAGGAAAACTTTCCTATCCTGGCAAAGGAAATGGACTTCCAGGAAGTCCAGGAAGCCCAGAGAGTCCCAAACAAGTTGGACCCAAAGAAGCACAGAGCAAAGCACATCATAATTCCATTAGCCAAGATTAAAGATAAAGAGAGAATCTTAAAAGCAGAAAGAGAAAAGGAGACAGTTACCTACAAAGGAGTTCCCATAAAAATATTAGGTAATTTCTCAAAAGAAACCTTGCAGGTGAGAAGGGGCTGGAAAGAAGTATTCCATGTCATGAAAGGCAAGGACCTACATCCAAGATCACTCTCTCCAGTAAAGCCATCATTTAGAATGGAAGGGCAGATAAAGTTCTTCCCAGGTAAGGTCAAGTTAAAAGAGTTCATCATCACCAAGCCCTTATTAAATGAAATGTTAAGGGGACTTATCTAAGAACAACAAGATGATAAAAAATGTGAACAGTGAAATGACTACAAACTCACAACTCTCAACAATTGAACCTAAAAAATCAGACAAAAACAAACTAAGCAAACAAGTAGAACAGGAACAGAATCACAGAAATGGAGATCATATGAAGGGTTATTAATGGGGAGGGCGTGGGGGGAAAATGTACAGAAAATAAGAAGCATAAATGGTAGGTATAAAATAGACAGGGGCAGGTTAAGAATAGTATGGGAAATGGAGAGACAAAGAACTTATATGTACAACCTATGGACATAAACTAAGGTTGGGGAATGCTGGTGGGAGGGGGGTACACGGCAGAGGAGAAAAAAGGGGAGAAAAAAATGGGACAACTCTTTTAGCATAATCAATAAAATATGCTAAAATAAATATAAATAAAATGTAAAACCTTTTTAAAATTTTTAAAAGAAAATAAAATACCAGTGACAAATTTCACAGGTATAGAACATTTCAAAAATTCATATGGAACCATAAACAACACCAAAAAGCCTCAGGAATTTTGGGAAAGAAGAACAAAGTAAGAAGGATCACAATACCTGATATAAAACTGTATTACAAGGCATGGTAATCAAAACAGTCTGGTGTTGGCATAAGAACAGACACAGATGAAAGGAACACAACAGAGAGCCAAAAATAAACCCAAGTCTCTATAGTCAACTAATATTCAACAAAGAGAGAAGGAGTATAAAATGGAGTAAAAATAGCCTCTCCAACAAATGGTGTTGGGAACTACATGCAAAAATATGAAACTCGACTACCAACTTACACCATACAGGAAAATAAACTTAAAATGGATAAAAGAATTAAATATAAACTGTGACACCATAAAAGTCTTAGAGGAGAACATAGGCAGGAAAATTTCAGATATTCCACACAGCCATATTTTCACTGATATGTCCCCTAGAGCAAGGGACATAAATGAAAGAATAAGCAAATTGTACTACATCAAATTAGAAAACTTCTGCATGGCTAAAGAAAATACCAGCAAAATGAAAAAAAAACTAACTGTATGGGAAACTATATTTGCAAATGATGATTCCTCAGACAAGGCTTTGATCTCCCACAACTCCACACCAGGAAGACAAACAATCTAATGAAAAAACAGGCAATGGAGCTGAACAGGCACTTCTCCAAAGAGTACATACAGAGGGCCCAGACACACATGAAAGGATGCTCAACATCACTAGCCATGGGAGAGATGAAAATTCAAATCACAATAAGATATTACCTCACACCAAGTCAGGATGGCCATCATAAACAAATCAACAGACAGCAAGTGTTGAAGAGGATGGGGAGAAAAGGGAACCCTAGTGCATTTGGTGGAAGTGCAGACTGGTACAGCCACTATGGAAAACAGTATGGGATTCCCTCAGAAAACTAAAAACGGAACTGCCTTTTGACCTGGTAATTCACTGCTCTAAGGATCCCGAAACACCAGTTCAGAAGTACCTATTCACCCCAATGTTCATAGCAGCATAATTTATAATAGGAAAGTGGTGAAAGCAACCTAACTACCCATCAGTAAATGAGTGGGTCAAAAAACTGTGGTACATTTACACAATGGAATAGTATGGAACAGACAGAAAGAAGGAACTCCTACCCTTCACGACAGCATGAATGGAACCGAAGAGTATTATGCTAAGTGTAATAAGCCAGGTGGTGAAAGACAAATACCATCTGAGCTATAAGGGGAACCTAATCAACAAAACAAATAGGTGAGCAAAATAGAACCAAAGACATTGAAATAAAGAAAAAGTTGACAGTGACCAGAGAGGAGGGTGGATAATGGGGGACAGAAATGGAAAGGTCAAGTCAAGGAACATGTACAAAGGACCCATGGAAAAAGACAATATGGGGAGGGAGGATTGACTGTAGGAAGTGGGGGTGGGTAAGGCGGGGGAGAGTAATGGGAACAAGTGTAATTGCACAACAATAACAAATTTAAAACAAAACATCAGCAAAGTTTCTTAAAATGATCAAAGAAATGCCGAAATAGCTATCATCTTTGGAGAATTCATTGGGCTTGAAATAATTTATTGTTTTTGGTTCCTTCAAGAATCACAAGACCATAAAATAAATTTAAGTAAAACATTAAGGAGAAGAGGGACAAAGGTAGAGAAAGAAACTGTGAGCTAGAGAAAAAAAGAGAATCTCACTCAAATTAGCAAATCTAATCATGGTTTCTGGTCTTTGCTGAAATGTCAGCTCCTGAACAGAGATTTCCTTGACTACCCTCCATAAAACAGTGTCTACCACTTCTGGCCAAGATGGAGACAGAGGTAGACACACTGTGCCTCCTCACACAACCAAAATAAGGTCAGCAACAATTTAGAAACAAGATAACAACCAGATCTGACAGAAAATTGAACTGTATGGAAGTCGGATGACCAAAGAGTTAAAATATATACATTCATCCAGACTGGTAGGAGGGGTGGAGCCGGGCAGCCGGGTGGAGAGGGGTTGAGGCAAAAAAAGTGGTGGCGCCAGATGCATAACGCATCCCGGGCGCATAGGGCATCCCGAGCGCAAGACCGCAGCGGGTGGACTCTGGGGGCACAGGCAGCTGGCAGACCCAGCAAGGCAGCAACTGTGAAGTGTGGCAATGTGCACAAGGCACCTGGCTGTCTGGGCTACATTCAAGTGCAGATAAACTAGGTGAAATTGAGCAGTGAGACAGACTGCTCAACCCAGGGTCCCAGCTCCGGGAAATAGAACCTCAGGACACTGATTGAGAACACCTGTGGGGGTTGAGGCACAGGGAGAGACCTCCAGCCTCACAGGAGAGTGCATTGGAGAGACCCATGGGGTCCTAGAATGTACACAAGCCCACCCACATGGGAATTAGGACTGGAAACAACCAATTTGCTTGGGGGAAG